ATAATATAATATAATATAATATAATATAATATAATATAATATAATATAATATAATATAATATAATATAATATAATATAATATAATATAATATAATATAATATAATATAATATAATATAATATAATATAATATAATATATACAACTATCTTAAATGCATTTTTGTGAAAATGTGGAAATATACCATATTAAGATAAAATTACTTGCAATAAACGCAATAAAAAAAATGTCTATAATAGATATAAAATATATAAGGAATAAATGTACAACAATGAACAACAATACAAATGTTGCAAACATTATAATCACATGTCAATAAAAGTGCATGCTGACTGAGACAAATTAAATTAAATTAAATTAAGAATAAATAACATCAGGGCTGTCAATTTAATACTCTCATTCAGTTTATTTGGGGACTGAGACAAGTATGATGTCATCGGCATGTGACAGAACCTACGTAGTGACACGGGAGGACATCTTTTTCATCACACCGTCTCCGTTTGGCATTGCTGCTGGCCTGTGAGGGATACACCCCTGAGGGACCCTGACGATCCTCCGCTGCCTGACTGTCAGTTGACGACACTGATTTACTCTATAGAGACAAAAAACACAGCATAAACACACACACAGTCTCATTTCCAACAAAATGCTAAAGTTGTGCAAAGTTCACCAAATAGTTCATTGTTCTGAGGCCATATGATCGCTTTGTGTTGGAAGTCAATATCATCAAATGTCATTGTTTCTCGAGTGTAACGAAACGTTGTGATGTCGAAACTGCGCCATATTTGAATTGCGCTGAAGGGATTTTAAAGGTAAATTTTGGTATTTGGTTATTAAGAAAGGTCACTGTATGGAAAAGCTACATGAGGGTGAGTAAATGATGGTAATTTTTATTTTTGGGTGATTTTTTTCCTTTAAAGGGGTCATATGATGTTGCTAAAAAGAACAGTATTTTGTGTATTTGGTGTAATGAAATGTGTTTATGCAGTTTAAGGTTCAAAAAACATTATTTTCCACATACTGTACATTATTGTTTCTCCTCTATGCCCCGCCTTTCTGAAACGCGTC